AACTCAAGGTTCCTCACAGTGGAGCTGGAGGACAAACTGACACCAAGGTGACTCTGTTCAGACAGTGATTCTCTGAGATGTTGAGGGTCAATTACAACGACCTCAGTCTGAATTAGAAGTAAGAAGTTCTGGCTCATCCAGGCCTTGATGTTCTTGAGACGTTCCTGAAGTTGAACTAAGTGATTAGATTCATCAGGCTTCAGAGAAATGTACAGCTGGGTGTCGTCTGTGTAACAATGGTAGTGTCTGTGGTGCTTTCTGATGATGTTGCCTAAGAGGAGCATATATAAGGTGAAGAGTATCGGTCCAAGGACAGAACCTTGTGGAACCAGTCTGATGTTCCTCTGATCCCTTCATGTTGTTCTAGTCTCAGTGATCTTATGATCTATGGTGTCAAACGCTGCACAAAGATCCAACAGGACGAGGACAGAGACAAGTCCATCATCTGAGGCCATGAAAAGGTCATTAGTGACTTTTAACAGCTGTCTCTGAGCTGTGATGGATTCTACATCCTGACTGAAAGTTTTCCAACAAACCGTTTCTATCTGAGTCGTCACACAGCTGGTTAGCAACAGCTTCCTCTAGGATTTCAGAAATGAAGGTTTGATGTGGGTCTGTAATGAGCTCAGACCTCTGGATCTTTTCATCAGAGGTTTAATTACAGCTACTTTAAAAGCTTGTGGTACGTAGCTGGTTAACAAAGACATGTTCATCTGATTTAATATGGAACTGTCAATCAGGGGGACACTTCCTTAAAAAGTCCAGTCGGGACAGAGTCTAAAAGACAAGTTGTTGGTTTACATGATGAAACTAATGAATCAGTTCAGAAGGTCAACAGAAGAGAAATGGTTCAAACATAAATCTGGTTCTATGGTTCCAGGACCAGACAATGTATCTGTGCTCTTCATGGGGAGGAGGTGGTGGATCTGATCCCTGATGGTTATAATTTGATTWGTGAAGAAGCTCATGAAGTCATTGCTTCTCAGAGTTAGAGGAATAGATGGGTCAGTAGAGCTGTGACTTTCTGTCAGCCTGGCTACAGAGCTGAAGAGGAACCTGGGCTTGTTCTGATTTTCTTCTATTAATAATGAATAATAAGAGGTTCTGGCATTTCTGAGTGCTTTCTTGTGATTCATCAGGCGATCCTTCCATGCTGGTGAAAATCATTTTGGAAAAAAGTCTGTTTTCCCACAGGACCTGCCCTCTACTGGAAATATTGAGCAGGTTAAGTTGTCCTAATGTGTCCACATAGGTGCAAACTATTTTGAGTCTCTTGCTCTGTCAATGTCTCTAACAGTCGACGGGTCCTGGACTGGTTGGTCCAGCTGGGGTGAGTGCTCGTCTTCCTGTATCCCACAAGGCGAAGCACCTATCAGGACTCGCTTCCGCTCCTGCTCTAATCCAGCCCCCTCATCCAGGCCACCTGGCAAAGTTTGCCAAGGTGACAACCACCAGATAGAGGACTGCAGTCACATACCTCACTGCCCAGGTACACCTGTCTTTCTGAACACACACCAGTGGTAATGATTTACAGCGTCTCCGGTCAGTCAATCATAAATATATGTGACTGCACAGCTGTAAGAGACAATCACAAACTTCCAGATGCTGTAACACCCGTCAGCTGACGTCACATGACTACAGAGTTTATAACGAGATCAACATAGAAACTAGAATCACCACCCTGTGGTTGTACACCTCTCATAAGCAGTACAGTTTCTCCAGGTGACATATTACATTCACAACAATATGAGGTCACTATGAGCTTTGACCACCAAAATCGAATCAATCTAATCTAATCCAAGCTCCAGGTAGAATCCAGAGTTCATGTTTCACAGCTGAACAACTCAGCAGCAGGTTTTCTGCTCAGACTCGTTCAGCATCAGATCCTCCTCGTTCTTCAGGTGAGAGGTGGAGCAGACAGACAGGAAGTGATCATGTGATCATGGTTACATCACCTGACACCGTCGTCAGCTCTCATCACCACAAACTGTCTYCACGTCTTCGTCTGTGTCTTCTACGTGTGTGTCAGCACTTTGTCTCCASAGACATTTGTTTGTGTTTCTTCATGTTTGTGTCACGTGTTAGAAGCTCATCACCCCCCCACTCCCTCAGTGGATCAGTGGATGATGCTCTGCTGTGTCCTCACTTCTCCTGGACTTAGACTTTATACAGGAGTGAAGGAGGAGACAGACAAACTGAGTCTCACTCTGACATTTGAGTTCAAGATCCAGAGAACTGAGGAGTTCAGTCTGAAGCAGCTTGTGTGAACATTTGTGCCAAATTTGAAAGGATCCCTGGAGGCATTCCTGAGATATTGTGCTCACAAGAATAGGATGAGCGTACCTGAGAAGATATGATGCCTCCAGCCACTGGGTGTCACTGACATAACTATAAAAGACATAGAGACAACAATGACTGTGAGATGACCATGGAGAGGTGTGATTGAAGGAACAAAAGGTTGTGCTGATGTTTAGTTCTCATAAGGACACAGATAACCACTCGCTATCCTGTTTCTGTCTCTCTACCAGTGGATGGGGGATGGGGGTCTTGGTCCCCCTTCACTTCCTGTCCTGTCACTTGTGGGGTGGGGCTTCAGGTGTCAGTCAGGACATGTGAAAGCCCTGCTTCTCAACATAGCGGCCTGCCATGTCCTGGAGAGGGACGTCGAACCAGCATCTGTACAACAAATGTCCACTGTCCAGGTACCTTTCTTAATACTGACACTTAAAGACACAAAGTAGACAACTCCCAGGTGTTGTCCCAGAGACGATAACGACTCCCAGGTGTTGTCCCAGAGACGATAACGACTCCCAGGTGTTGTCCTGGAGACAGTTCACCCAATACGCACACTACGCACGTTGCGTAGGGCCCCGCAAACTAATAGAGGCCCTGTGAAGAAAAAAAAAAACTGACTGTCCGTCGCGGACGTCAGATTCCCAGTGCATGTGCATCAGCCCAGCAAGATGAAGCGGAGTCATCCCTCGGGGAGTTAAAAAAAAAGAGGAAGAAACAGCATGAAACTTTGTGAAAATGAAGCAGTCAGGTAACTCTCCTCACCGGGCGGGAGAGTGGGAGGGACTAGTCCGTGTTTAACCGACAGTAACAGGGCGGGACGCCGGGGAGCCCTGGGTGAACCCCGGTCTCTGTGTGCGTCTTCCTGGCTTCTATAATTTTAGTTGTAATATTGTTACAACTGCACTGATACAAAATGGAAAGTAATGGATAAATATTGACTAAGATTGAATTGTGTTTGCTTGGATAGCCCACAGGCAGATATAGATGCAGATATCTCTAAACAAATAATAATGAAATAATAACATAAACAATCACCTACATTTGAAGTATTTGAAAGTGAAACAAGTGCAGCCGATTTGATGGAGCTGAATTAACAGTTGCCTTATCAATATGTTTAAAGGGGGGGTGAGTGGAAGCACTGGGTGTCAGGTGCGACTGTTGAACATTTTTGGGGTTCAGTTAGGAAGGCCCATTAGCAGAGTTTTGGGCCCCATGGAGGTCTGAACCGGCTCTGACCTGGAGACAACAAAACACTGTACAAACCTACCAGATGAAGTTTGAGAACACAAACATACTAATGCTGAAGACAGACTAACTTGTGTGTTTGCAGTGGACGGCGTGTGGTCAGAGTGGTCGCCGTGGAACAAATGTACATTTCCGTTTGGTGAGCGGAACATCCGCTGCAAGCAGCTGGGCGGGAGTCAGACACGGGAGCGTCAGTGTCTTCATCGAGCTCATAACGGATCCATCTGCAGCGGAGACACTTTGACTGACAGGCGGGTCTGCTATGATGTCAGCCGCTGTTACCGTGAGTGACACAAACACACATTCAAGTTTTTATACGTTGAGTGAAAATTAAAACCACCTCACAATACACCAGAAAACAGGTGGTCACACAGACAGTCATAGATGTCCACTCACAACAACATGAATGTCCTAACAATGGAAAGTCATCAAGTTATCATCTGCAGTTGATAAAAAAAAAAGATGTTTACAGATTAAACACTTTAATTAAATATATGAAATAAGTTTCCTTATTAGACAATTCAGAGATCCAATTACTCAACATATTCACATAGAAATAAAGATAAAATATGAACCCATCCGTCAGTAAAGACAATCTTATATTAGAACAGATTTAACATTGAGTATCACAAGAAAATCCATACTTCCCCCTCTTCTTGTGGGCAAATGAACATCCCACCTGAGACCATACCAAGTCACTCAGTGTTTAGGGGTTTAAAGTTGGCTGGAGTCAAACCACACTTTAACACAGCTGTTTGCAGGGTAAATCTCATCCATCTTGTTTTTAAGAGACGTGGAGTTTATTGTTGTTTGGCGAGCACGATGTTTGACGTGGAAGGCAGGTACAGAGCAAACCGCCATTGACCTCAGCCTCACCGTCGTGATGTTTAGCCAATGAATTGCTGGCACCTCATCAAGGAATCGAACTCAGAGATACGATCCACGACACGACACATTTCGAATGTTTAATTGGTTCATGTTTTTACTGTCATCTTTGTCTTAAAGAGTTCATGACGAATTGCCCTTTTTTATCACCAGCCAATCACATGTTTATTGTGTCTCTGTGTGTCTCTGTGTCTTCTTGTTGTGTTGCAGTGAAGGGCACCTGGCAGGGCTGGGACTCGTGGAGTCTTTGTTCTCCGTCCTGTGGACAGAACTCCAACCGCTTCAGGAGTAGAAACTGTGAACCTGATTACAGTGGCTACAAGTCAGTTTGTTTCCTTGAGAGACCCACGGATGTAATAAGGATTTACAAATGAACATGATAATTATAATACCGCTACCGTTACACCTACCGATGTCTCAGTACGTTTGTTACTGCTGATTCCCATATTTTCACATAATTTCATGTCCCATCCCCCCTCTTTAAAGATGCATGATGCACTTACTTTAACTAGCGTTGCCTACAGACCTATGCACGTAGCCTGAAGCACTGAGCTTCTGATTTATACATGAAATAATGCAGAGCAACCAAGTTTAGGGTTAAACTCCAGATTCCCAGATTTCGACCTATCATATATATACAGTATATATATATATATATATATATACTGTATATATACTATACTATACATGCGTCTTTCTTATTTGTTGTTCTTGTAAAAGTGGCTGAAGTGCAGTGTTGCTGTGTTGCAGTCCCACCATCGGCCGTCAGAAGGAGAAGGCCACGTTCTTTGGGAAGCCACTGGCCGACTGTGGCTCGACACCGGATGGCGGTCCAGATATCGAGAACCAGCCCTGTGTCAACATTCCCCCCTGCCCCCCCCAGGTATAAAGATGGCTCTCTCAACTGAGGCTAAGTCTCTATCGCCCACTGGTGGCTGGCTGTATTACAGGTCATAAACCTGTTCTTATCTCTGTTAATTAGATATTTGATGATGTAACTTTGTTTAGCTCCACCCCCAAACATAATACCTCTGGCCACTGGGTGTCGCTGACTATACAAGACTTGTGTATTCTATGTCACCCAGAAAACAATGTTTATTCATGTAATGTGAAGAGCCAGTATTGTGTATTCACAAGTATTCACTTGTCTACACAAATTACTGACACAATACCAACTGCAATGAGGGCTGGTGCTCACGATGTAATCCTCAATAAACTGGAGTGAATGGAGCTAAAAGTGTAAAGTATTTATTTTCATGTGCTTCCAGACAAAGACATTTTAATTCTACAAATATTGTGTCTTTGGGGTTTTTTACACGGAGGTTTGGTTTACATCACACTAGTATTCTGCTAACGCATGCTGATTGGTTAGTGAAAGATTTGCTGATAAACATGAAATCAATGATCATCTCCACACGTAGATCAGGCTAATGTAGCAGCTGCTAACTGTGATGTTAACAGTGGTAAATCTAGTCATGATGACACTCTGCAAGTGCTTCACAGTACAATTTTGCCATTCACCCATTCACACACACATTCATACAGTGCATCTATGAGCAGCACCTTCTTTGTTCTATGAGCGGTTCAGCATCTTGCCCAAAGACACTTCGGCATGCAGATGGGAAGACTGGGGATCAAACTGCCGATCTTCTGATTGGAGGACGACCACGTCCCGTAGCAAGTCACAGGAACTGATGAAACTCGGTAAGTGTCATGTGATGTGTGACATCCCAAAAACTTTCAGAAACTGTTTCTAACGTTGATTCAAAAAGTATAAATCTGATCTAATGGAACAAAATCTGTTGTTTCTGATTCTTGTGAACTACTAAGAAAACTAGCAGAAGAAAATTAGCCCGTTCTGAGCAACAGCTACATTTACTCTGGACTTCCTGCGCCCCCTGTACGACCTGGAAGCTGTGAGCAGAAGTTCTCCGTTTTAGAAACTTCCTGTTTACTTCCCTTTAGCATGTATAGCTAGCATGCACGTTAGCATGAAAGAGACTGTGATTGGTAGTTTATGTTATGACGATCGCACCATGCATTAAAGGGAGGTTAATAACTAGCACTGATAGCCAATCAGGTGGCTCCCTGCAGATCTGAAGCTTATGTTCACATTTGTCTGTGTTCGTGATGTCGCTCTGTTCCAACGCCGATACACTTTGTCCTCAGGAGGACCTCTTGATAACTCTTTCTCTAGCGAGTCTGTCTTTTTTCATCCTGTGAACCAGGCCACCCTTTAATTCGTTTTGAGACTGACCAATGTTCATCAACAGGGGGCGCTGCAGGAAGTGAACAGTGGTAACAAGATGGACTAACCTCTAATGACAAAATGTCTCTATCCTCTTTCAAACCTGGAGTATAGGACACGCCCACTGATGACATCACACTTCATGCTTGGAAACTGCGTTTTCAAACTAAAACAATCGCTCGACAGTGTTGTGGCTCAGGGTCAGTTTTAATCCTCGTCCATACATAACCACTCACGAACACTGGGCGTGTGAGCTGAGGCTGGTTTTCTTCCAGGAGGTCATGTGATAGGAGCTTAACGAATCAGCAAAGGCTACGTCATGACCGAAAAGACATAAGCTGGAAGAGGTTGAGTCTACGTCATCGTTTGTCAGATGTATCAGAGATGTACCAGCAGACAAACACAAGCTCCACCCACACTCTTTTATTAACAGGCCGCTGCACCAAAGATAACAGATTACTTCATGTTCGTCCACAGCAAAAGTAACAGTTCAGTTTTCAGCAGGTCTCCAGTCCGTAGTATTAACGCTTATCCATGTTCCGCCCCCCTTGCTGTCATGACATCATGGAAGTGTCCCCGCAGGGTCGTCAGGCGTCCAGTGTTCAGTGAAACTCGTCCAAACAGCAGCTTGTTCCAGTGACACATCATCACGGTAACATTGTAGGTCAGTAGTCATCGCCTCCATCCTCTTTCTTTTTTTTGGTATTTCTGCCACCACATCGAGCGGCATGGTCGCCTCTGGGAACTCCTGTTTCCTGCTGACGTTGACATGTTCCTGTTTCTCATTATTCTGCAAAAAAACGTCTAATTTATCTCGGACTGTTTTTATAGTTGAGACTTTATTCCTCATTTTTAAACTACGACCAAGTGAAACAAAGAATTTGACTTTTTATGTTTGTGCTGTTTTTATGTAGGTTGACGTCTGAAACCTCGGCCGCTGTGATTGGTCGGATGTACTGAGGTGTGAAAGTTGTCAGGATTTGTATGTTTGTTATCAATGCCCTCCTCCACCATGTTAGCAAATGGGACATAGACCAAACTAAAAAAATCAGTTTGTTCAAGTTTCTGATCAGTTTGGTTTGAATCAGTTATTTGATGATATAAAAACAGGCGAAGACGTCATGATTGACAGCTGAGGCTGACTCCTGATTGGTTGAGTGTGTACTGGTTTCACTCCCCCTCATCAGCACTGAGCCAGGAGACATTCAGGTTTACGATGTTCTGGTGGAACATCACGACTTTAAATCATTGCTGCTAAAATCATAGTTCACATTTAGTGTTTTTAGATTCGTTTCCAGTTTAACCCTTGATACTTTTCTATATGTGGTCGTGAGTTACAGTAAAAGTCAGTGCGACGGCAGACGTGCCGAGCTGCTGGTTGAGTTTTGGTTCATGGTCATCCTGAGGAAATGGCTCTTTGGCTCCAGTGTGTGCAGATTTGAAACTGAACGTAGAAAAACTGCTAGAAGATCTTTGTTGGAGCGGTGACGGAGGATCAGAGCCAATCAAATGTTGGGTTATAATTTTGATTTATCGAAAGATAAATTCATAATAAAGAGAAAAAGAATAAATAATCAAACCTGAGAGAACATGAGCTTGGACCTCCGCAGTTTTATTATTATTATTATTATTAATAATAATATTTTGTTCATTTTGTCAAAGCTCTAATCCTCCGTCGCAGCAGCTTAAGTTACTCTGAGCGTCTGGCTGCTTGTTTTTTCGGACGTTTCCATAGTGACGGCGCCGCAGCCCGTGGATGTTCCAGGATCCCAGAGGCGACAGCGTGTCTCTCCTCACACTGAGCTTCTTGCTTTGTTTCTTTAACAGATTTTAGCGTCGTCAGTAACAGCAATGTTTCCTTTTAGTCTAGTGATGACATCAGAAGAGAGGCAGAGTCTCCACATCCCCTGTCCCTCCCCTGTCTGATGCTCGTGAGCCAATCAGAGGGCCCGCAGGAGGTAGGATCATCTGAAACTCTCCCGAAAACAGGACAGAGCAGAGGAGGCTGACTGACCGCACAGTGAGTCCAGGCCGACAGTCTGCACGTCTTCAGCGAGCCGATCGAGCATCCGCAGAAAAAGAAAAACACAAAGGAAAAGAACTGGAGGGAAAAGAGGAGAAGAGTGAATTAATGAGGAGTTTACATTGTGTTCACTGTTCAATCAAGTTTTCAACAAGACGTCGCTTCGTTATCTCAAGTTGAAACAGGTGACACTCACATAGTCTCAGGCTCCTGTGCTACGTTTGGGACTCGACCACCCCCGTCTGGCCCCTCTCCGTCAGCGTCGGACTGACCTCCTCCTCTGGGTCGTAGTAATAAAACTTCTTCAGGTAGGCGATCAGAGGTCTGAGGAGAGAGACATCTGAGTTTGTTTCATCCATAAACTGTAAATAGAAATGGACGACATGATCGCCCCCTGGTGTCTGGTTGCAGTACAAGTCATAAACCCCTCCTCCTCCATGTTAGCAGATGGGGCATGGACCAAAGTTTGTTTGTCAAAGATGGTTTCTGTGATTTTAAATTGTTCTTATCACACTGTTGTTGGGACCTACTATTGGTGACCTATGTATCCGAAGCCTGAAGACAAAGGACAGCTTCCAGAACTCAGTCTCCCAGGGTCCTTCACTTCTTCACACCGTGGTGTGAAACCTGCCGCTGGACACAACTTCCTGCTACTATTAATCACTGTGTCTCAGGACCTGTGAGGTCACCAGACCAATAAAACCACAGTTCCCCCCCTGCTCTCTCTTTCTTATCACTTCTCCTGGAGCACAAGTGTCTCTCTCTCTTTCTGTCTGTCTCCTACTGTCTCTCTCTCTCTCTTTGGAACCACACGCTCACTCACACACATACAACACACACCTGTAATAGTAAGTACACTTATTATTACAGGTGTGTGTTAGTTTGTGTGTTTTTACTTTAAATATTTTAATAATAAATGTCATTAATGTTGCATTAGTATAAATTTTCTCAACCTCTACACTGCCAAGAACTCCACATCCTTCCACTCGGGGTGAACCCTAACAGACTACTGATCATTTTGGTATTTCTGATTTTTTGTTTTGAGTTATTTGATGATGAAAGAACAGGCTGAGATGTCACGATTAGTGGAGTGCATACTGCAGCCAGCCACCAGGGGGAGATGTCATCCATCTCCATGTGCTGGCTTCACTGTGCTGCTCATTTTATTTCTCGAACGATCTCATTATAATTTCTTCAGTTCTGATTCTGCTGAAGTTTTACGGCGAGCTCTGCGGACTCACGTGGGCAGCGGCAGCTCCTGGATGTGGTCGATGCGAACAAGCTGTCTGATGCAGAAGCGACAGAGATGCTGCAGAGATTTAACACTGCTGAACCTGGAGACTGGATACAAGAGCTGGACCGGGGTCGGGGGCAGACCTGAAACACACACACACACACACACACACACACACACACACACAC